AAGGCACTTAGGAAGGTGCTTTGCACGTACCTGTCTGTCTGCATCCTTAGCAGCATGTGGATGCTGCCGAAAGCCTGGCCTCCACCAGCTGCAGGGGCTGGAGCACTTACCTCCAAATCCCAGGTTTGGGGCTGCTTGCGGGCACACCTTCCTSCATCCACCTGAGCCAGATAATGTGTTTTCCTTTTGCTCCTATAGGCTACACCSCCCAAGCAAGGATGCACTCATTTTCCACCTGTCCTTGTAAGAGGATCGTGTTTTGTAAGAATATTGGGCTTAAACACTGGCTGTGTAACCCAAGTTGTGACACAGCGAGGCCAGCCAGGGAACATGCTCTTGCTAACAGGATTTTCTGACTAATATGGATAAGTGATTCTCCTCAGTTTCTAATTGTTATTAAAAACGTGCTTTAGGCCTCGCCTATTCCTGCTCTTTGTGCATATTTCTATTTCTCTCAAGCCTAGAGCTTCCTGGCATCGTCGGGGTGCCTGGACAGAGGGCACCAAGCTGGGTAGAGGAGCCTGCCCTGCTGTGAGATGCAGCAGCTGCACTTGTGTGGTTGGAGGCCAAAACCGGTCAGTTTGGGGCAAAATTGGTCAAAGTGGGGCACTTGGGAGCTTGCCACTCACTGTGCTGCTTCTCCCAATCCTACGTTATCTGGTGCAGTGCTCTAGCTGCCAAAACCACATGCTCGTGTTGGCATGAAACAGATATCCTGGTTTATATAGAACAGGCTTGGCRATGGTCTATCTCGGCGAGCAGTCATTGTGTTGAAAGATTCGGGGTCATCTTTTCCTCTCCAAGCAGCAGATTGAATCTCTTGCAACAGGATTCCTGATTTTAAAGAATAGGAGTGGATGGGAAAAGTGAGAACAGGCTGTACCTGTACAGCCTGGAAGGGAGAGAGAATGAGATGCAGAAAGAGGAGACTATTTTGGTCATTTGGTTTCTAAACCCATGAGAAATTATAAATAATGTTTATTGTTGCCAGCTGCTGCACACAGAGAAGTGTGGTTGTTTTACTCGCATGCAAAGCTATTGGTTGTGGGTGAAGTACTTGGACAAAAACACTCAATCACTGGTGTGGTATTCACCAAAAATAAACGCAAACAAACACTGCCATGTTATAGAAGCCTGTTTTGCTGTGTAGACAGACCTACAGTTGCTGTTCATGAACTCCAGCACTGTTGAAGCCTTCTGTTTAATTTACTTTCTTATACAAAGTAAAACACCAATATCTCTGAAACTTGCAAAGCAAGCAATAAATATTATGTATTTTCCATTAAATTGTGGTATACACTGTAAAATTACAGGGATACTTGTCACTGATAACTATTGCTTGATAAGGTTATTTGTGTTGCAAAGAAATGCAGCAGACAAAAGGCCAAAGTTTAAAGTTTTGGTCCTAAACTTTGAAGGTCCTAAAGTTTAAAAATGTTAACTGAAAGCAGGCTTAAAGATTAGTTGCAGAAAAATAGTTCTGCAGTCGTTAGTGAACGTTTCTTTTCCCTCCTGTTTTCCAGATTGCTTCCCAAAGGTTTAACTTGTACTCCTGTATGAAAGTAACTGCTCCTTCATTATCAGGGTAGCTACAGAGATTTTTATTCCAGAAGGCCAGGCTCTATCACTACTTGAAATTCTCCAAATTGTTTCCACCGTGAGCAAATTCAGGCTTGATGCAAGTCACATCTGCCTAAAAGTTACTAGCAATTGCTTCTACTTTATGCCAGCATCAAATTTCACCTACAATCTCACATTTAAAAAATCAGGTTAAATCCCAGGGTTTGGAAAGCTTTGAGTAAGTGACTTTAAATCCAGAAGTCCTTAATATGAAATACTGAAATAAAAGCATTCGACTTCAGTGGTTTGGGGTTGAAACGGAGACATTTCCTTGCAGATAGGAATGCCTCATGTGAACTACATACATAAAAAAGGGTCTATTTAAGTTTTTCCATGCAGGAACAAAAAATAACAATCACACCCAAGTGCAGTTTCTCTGCTAGCTGGAGCAGGGGGTGAGTGGGTGGGRACAGCCACTGCAGCCCCCCAGCAAGAGCTTGGGGGGTGGAAATGCAGAGGAAGGTCTCGGCTTCCTCGGGGAGCAGCCAAAGCCCTCGGCAGCCTTGGAGGAGGGAAACAGGGCAAGTGCCGCGTTCTGGGGCAGCAGGAGGAAAGTGGAAGAGGGGGCCCTGGAGAGAGGCAACTTGAACTGGGCTCCTGCTGAAGGGACTCGAAGGCAGCAGTTTCCACAGCTTAAGTGGTTGTGGTGTCCCAATAACAGTGCCCTGAAAGCAAGTGCTGCAGGGCCGTGCTCAAGGAATCTGGCTACAGCATCCTAACACCTTTATTTATTTATTTATTTATTTATTTATTTATTGATTGATTGATTTAGAGACATGTTTTAAGGCAAAGGGAAGGCGTCAAACCCCCTAAATAGCCACAAATTACCAGAGAAACACAGCCGCTGATCAGTGTTTCATGGGTGTAAAATTGCCTTCCGTGATGGGACAGTGTCCTTTGGGATCTAAATACACCAAGTTTTGGTTGAGCAGGAAGTGGAACAGGCCCTGCCATTGAAGCGCTCCAGTTACTGYGCTAAGGAGCAGTGCAGGCTTCAGGCTCGCTCACAGGATTAAAGCAAAATTCACCTGAGAAAGCTGGAGGTAGGGAAAGCGCTGGGCAGAAAGGGAAGGGGCATTTGAAACGCTGTCCCCCACACCTCTTAAGAAGGGCCTTGTTTTTCCTCCCCCCCACCCCTAAAAAAATACATATTTTACCAGTCCAACCTCTGATTTAATTTACGGCATTTGTGGCAGCCGCCAGTTCTCAGTCTCACCACCCCTTTGGAATGGGAAAAGAGCATTATCCTCCTTGTATAGATAAGGAAACTGGTTTATCAGCTTGCCCTCAGCAAGAGGCAGAGCCTGGAATAAAACTTGGCTGAGATGCAAGCACCTCAAGCGAGGGCAAACATGCATTGAAATCAGCCTCAAACCCCATCTTCTTTTATTAGGGGCCTTTACTTTAAAAAAGGGCTAGTTTCAAGCGAGTTCCTGATCAGCTGTGTTATTTACCCAAAGCAGCTTCCAGCTCCCCGAGCAGGGCCTGGAACAGGCAGATTCCTGAGTGGAACACAGGGAGGCCCTGGCACCTTCCCCCTCCGTAACATTCCAACGCGGCAAGAACTGCACTGGAGTCCTTGTATTAAAAATTATTTATTTAGTGATCTGTACATGGGACGAAGCAGGGCCTCATACAGACCTTCCAAAAAAATCAAGTAAAAACATAAATACATATTTTCTTACAAAAAAAAGAGATTTACAAAATATACATACTGCACTTTTCTTACAGTTTTCTTTTCCAATCCCCCCCGTGCGCATTTTAAGAGACAAAAGCCCAAACCCTACAAGTCTGAGATCAGATATAGCGAAGGATTTGGCTGATGGGCTGTTCCTCATGCCCAGACTGCTGGTATGAGTCTGCCCCCGCACCCTGAACAGTTTCTTCCTTTTAAGTTTAATTCCAGACACTTCCCCCCTCCTCCTCCCCCCCACGAAGAGCAGCTATAGGGTGGAGACTTGCTACAAATCCACAATTTCCTATTTTGTCCGTAGGCAAGAATATATGAACACACACACACACATATATATATTTATAAAAACAAACCCTTCAGTGAATATAAAGGTAGAGTAGTATTTAAAAATAAAATATTAAAAGAGTGAACATAAAAATTTAAGAATAGAAAAATTTGTCACATTTCAAAAAAAAAAAAAAAAAAAAAAAAGCTGCATCTGCTGCTTAATTTGTGAATGCCTTTTCTTCCCTCCCCAGTGGTGGGATCATGGAAGGAAACGGCTGCATTTTTAAGTACAATTAGAAGGTTACTCAGAGTAATTGCTTGCTTTTAAATCCCAAGGCCACTTGTCCCCAGTCTGTTTCCTCACTCCTACAGGGCTTGGGGAACCAGAGTTGCTGGCAAATGGGTCCATCAGGAGCAAAAAGTGTTGCCCCGTCCCCACGGTGCCTTCGCCTGCAGCAGCCCCGCTGCAGAAAGCGCCTTTACGGGCGCTAGGGCTGGCGAGAAAAGCTGCGGCTCCATCTCTCTCGTTTTAGTGGCTCTTGCTTTAGCAGCCTGCCCCGTTCTGCTCTGCTCTCCCGCTCCGTCAGCCTTGCATTCCCTTCAGCTTAGGGAAAGCAGCCGCTCTCGCAGAGTGCAAAAACATCCTGCCTGCGCCTTTCTCATAAAGGAATGTTTATTCCTGGGAGCTGCCCGCATCCAAGGGCGAACCTCAACGACTTCTTTTTGTTAGTTTGCCCATAAAAACCGATCCCATGCCTAGGCCTTTCTGCACAGAAAACACTTTTGTCTCCCCCTTTGTCTCCTCTAACAAAGGCAAGGGGGAAAAGCCTTCTGCTCAAAAGCAACAAGTCACTTCTTTTCAGGGGGTGGAATAGCAACCGCCTCCTTCTCCACAGCAGCCAGGATGGCCGCTCCAGGCAGGATTWTCCCTCTGGAATAGTTACAGCAGGTAGCACAGAGGGGGAAAGCACAACCTCTAGGCCCGTGGAGGCACCGGGGCAGCGCGGCTGGCCGGCCAGCTCCAGTGCGGGCACCAACCCGCCACTTCCCCCCGGGAATGCGGGGAGCTGGGCTGCGTCTCAGCCCTGCTGCCATCCCAAGGCAGGACACCTTTGCAACTGAGGGATTTTTTTTCCCTTCTCCCCTGCCCRGGGAGGAGGTAGGGGAACTTCCTGCAGGTAAAGGACTCCCCGCACCCCACGAGCRGCCTGGGGAGCCTTCTCCATGCTCCTCCTATTAGTTGGGAATCAGCACCCTTGGATATCTGCTCCTTTATGCAGAGATTCTTTCATTTTGCTTGAGGAAGCAAAAGTTTTGGAAAGCTCCCCTTCCTCCTCCTTTGGGGAGCCATCACCTCCCTCTGCTGAGGGCCCCTCACATATATCTATATAACGTGTGTGTGTGTGTGTGTATATATATATGTGTGTGTGTGTGTGTGTGTGTGTGCGTGCACACGTGCACCGGAGGGGGCAGGAGGGTCTCATACCGCCGTCTCTCCCTTGCTGCCCGTGCTGAGTCTGTGGTAGAAGCGTCGCCAGGACTGAAGGGTTTTGCCAGACCAGATCCAGAAGCCGGTTGTGATCCCAACAATCATGGTCATGAGGTACTTGATCATGAAGACTGTGAAGTCCGGGCTCATGGGGGCAAAGTGGCTGGGACAGGGCACAGCATAGGACTTGCAGGTCTGGAGGAGCCACGTCTTCTCCCAGGTGGCCCGGAAAGCCTGCTCGTAGAAGTAACACGCGAGCACGATGGTGGCGGGCACCGTGTAGAGGACGCTGAAGACACCGATGCGCACCATGAGCTTCTCCAGTTTCTCCGTCTTGGTGCCATCGTGCTTCATGATGGTTCGGATGCGGAACAGGGACACAAAGCCGGCAAGCAAGAAGGAGGTGCCGATGAAGAGGTACACAAACAGGGGCGCCAGCACGAAGCCTCGCAGGGAGTCCACGCTGTAGATGCCCACATAACACACCCCGCTGAGCACRTCCCCATCCACCTGCCCCATGGCCAGGATGGTGATGGTTTTGACGGCGGGCACAGCCCAGGCAGCCAGGTGGAAGTACTGGGAGTTGGCCTCGATGGCCTCGTGGCCCCACTTCATGCCAGCGGCCAGGAACCACGTGAGGGACAGGATGACCCACCAGATGGAGCTGGCCATGCCGAAGAAGTAGAGGATCATGAAGAGGATGGTGCAGCCTTCCTTCTTGGTGCCCTGGGCCACAGTGCGGTAGCCGTCCTCAGAGAAGCGCTCCAGGCACACGACGCGCTCCTCCAGCAGGAAGCCCGCYGCGTACGCCACGGCCACCATGAAGTAGCAGCCCGAGAGGAAGATGATGGGCCGCTCGGGGTAGCTGAAGCGCCGCATGTCCACCAGGTAGGTGAGCACGGTGAAGAGCGTGGAGGCACAGCAGAGCACGGACCACACGCCCACCCAGAGGCGGGCRAAGCGCACCTCGGCCTCCTTGAAGTACATGAGCCCGTTGGGCCGCGCCGGCTCRCAGGGCGCCCCGCAGTCCCGCTCGCCCAGGAAGCGGTAGCCCAGGTACGGCGGCACCTTGAGCTGGCGCGGGCAGGAGAAGGCGAAGGCGGCGGGCGGCTGCGGCGGCGTCAGCAAGTCCGGCAGGTAGCCGGCCGTGGGGTGCACCGTGGCCCCCCGGCCCGCCCCGCCGGGCCCCGCCGGCGCGTCCGACGTGTTCTGCCCCACGCAGATCTCGCCCGCRCCGTGCACGGGGAAGTTCTCGCAGCGCAGCCGCTCGGGCCACTGGAAGCCGAACTTGTTCATGAGGGCCTCGCAGCCCTGGCGGGCGCGCTCGCAGAGCGAGCGGCACGGCGGGATCGCCTGCTCCAGCACGGTGCACACCGGCGCGTACATGGAGCACAGGAAGAACTTGAGCTCGGCCGAGCACTGCACCTTGACCAGCGGGTAGAACTGGTGCACCTCGAGCCCCGCGTCCTCCTGGTTCGTGTGGCCCAGCAGGTTGGGCAGGATGGTCTGGTTGTAGGCGATGTCCGTGCAGAGCGGGATGGAGATGGGCTGGCAGAAGCCGTGGTCGGGCACCGAGATGCCCTTCTCGCCGTGGTACTGCTGCCCCGCCGCCCGCGCCAGCAGCGCGCCCAGCAGCGCGGCCAGGCCCAGCAGCCCGCGCCGCGCGCCGCGCGCCCCGCCGCGCATCGCCGCCGCGCCGGGGCTCAGAGCGGCCGCGGCATCGGCACCAACCTGCCCCGCTCCGCGCCGGCTCCGCCGCCTGCTCCGCAACTTTTAGAATCCAACTGTGCGCGCTGCGCTGCTGCTAGTGCCGCTGCTGTCGCCGGTACCGCTGGTGCTGCCGCTCGGCGCCCGCGGCAGGGACGCGCTGCTGCCACCGCCCGCCCGCGCCGCCGTCCCGCCCGCGCGGCGCCCGCAGAGCCACATATACGCGCGGGCCCCGCCCGCGCCGGGCCCATTCACAAACCGCCGCGGGGGCGGGGCTCGGCGCGCCCGCCCGCCAATCGCCGCGCCCGCCCGAGCCGGCGCGGGGGGGCAGGGCGGGCGCGCAAAGCCGGGGCGGGGGGTGGAAAAAAAGTTGCGAAAGAGGCGCGCGCGGGCGGGCCCGACAAGCGCCCCCAGCGCTGCCGCCCGCCCGCSCGTGTCGCGCGGCGCAGGCAGCCAAGTGTCCCCAAGGGGCAGCGCGGGGGCTCCCGCAGCCGCTGCCGGGCACAGGGTGCCCATAGCCCCCCAGCTCGGAGCCGTGGGGCCCGGGAGCCTCCGCCTTTGTTAGGCTTCTCGTGGAAACCCACGCTTACGAATGGCTTCTCTGAAATACTCTTACTCCTCTAAAAGTGGACATGTTTTTAAAAGTAATGCTCTGCTCTCCAAAATATGTATGTTGAATATGCTGCAAAATATGGCAGGATTAGCTATTCAAGGTTGTAACAGCTGTTTCTGGAATACAAATAAGTTCTTTCTTTATTCTCAGTTCTAGCTGTTGGAGGGCACCTTTGAGAAGTTTCTGCTTTTCAGTCTGGTAAGGTTTGTTTTTGAATAACTTACTTTTGTAAATCTAGTGTCTGAGCAGGTTTTTCTGACGTGCTTCACCTAAGCGGTCTTCCCTAACAGAACCTCACCTGAACTTGGCTGCTGTATTATTTACTGTTTGGTTGTCAGGAACTTTTAAAAAGTTTTTTTTTTTTTTTATTATTCTCCTGTCCATCTTTCTGTAACACCCCATGAGCCTCTGAGTCACCTATCTTTAATACTCACCTTAAAGCCTCTATTTTTCTCTTTGGCATATGTGCCTGACTTCATCTGCAAAGCATTTTGTGGCATTCCCTGCGCAAAACGTTGGCTGAAAGCTGTTTCCCTGGCAGGGCCAGTGCAGAGAAGGGCRGCTGCCTGCAGCCCTTTGCCCCACGCGCTGCCCCTTCCCGTTTCCATGTCGAGGAGAGAAATTCATGGCTGCTAAAACGGTGTTACAAGAGAGCATCATTTCCTGCAGAATTAGAAATAGGGAAGCAGATGGCACCCGTGGTGCCCCTTGTTGCACTAGAGTCTCTCCTTGGATCCCTGGTAAGGAAGAAAAGAGAACTGGCAGTTCTGGCACCGCCTGTCGAGGCGGGATGACTTCGTGGTGTTCACGTTGGCTGTAGCGTAGGACCAGAGTAGAGCCAAGGGAGAAAGAAGCTGGGTGGGCAGGAAGGGAAAGCTGCATCTTGAATTGTTTCTTGGTGAGATAAGAAGAGAGTAAGCTGCTTGTGTGGAATGACACTGCGAAGCCATTCCAGGTGGCAGGAATGTGCAGCAGGGGTTGTGAACCCTGYACTAAGATGGAGGAAGAGTCTCTGGGCTTGTTAGCTAGTTCTTTTTGATTTCTTTCCTACAAACACAGAGCYGCTGTGAGATGGGACACAAGCCCTGGGAGTAGAGAGTAGTCTCAGAACAGCAACTGTGGCCTGAGAAGAGCTTAAGCTGCCAAGTCAGTCTAGGACCTACTGGCAGCTTTCTGTGGGGGTGAAAAACACCCCAAAACACCAGCCAGCTCCAGGGGCTTGGATTTCAGGTTACCCCTAAACATCTACAACTATAGGTAGTGTCAGTTGTGATTCAAACAAGAGCAAACTTCCTCTTTTTTCCTTTTTTTTTACCTCTAAACTCGCAAACCTTGGAGAGCAAGACCCTGCTGAGGGCAGGATACCAGAGCAAACCTCCAGTCTTGGGTCGTGGTGCCAACCCTGGCGCTGCCGGAGCAGACCCTCAGCCTGGCAAGTGCTGTTCACAGCTGGTCTTAGGAACAAAGCCCTGTCTTTTTATACCCGTAAAAATAAAMCCAGTCCTACATCCAAGCTAGGTCTAAATGAAGAGGGTTGTCCCTATCCTTCTTGTTTTAAAGCCTCCTTTGGCATTGCTAAGGTCGCTTTCCTTGGTTTTTATCCCGCTTCAAAACTCTGCCCGTGGTGGGAAGGGAAATCAAGAGCAGTCAGGAGTTATTTTCCGGTTCTGTGTGCCCCAGGGTGAACATTTTCCCATTATTTGCAGAAAYGTGCTGCTCTCTGAGGGCCCTTGCTGGCCTCATTGCCAGTTTGGTTGCCCAAGGCCCGGATGCAACCAGCTCAACTGCGAGACTTGTCACGTTTAGATGTAGTAAAGAACTTCAGTGACACTTCTAACCTCAGCCTTTTGAAGCATATTTACATGCATTCTTACATGACCAGGCAGGCTCTAGAGCGAAGAACGTCCACATTTGCGCTACCTAAAGCTTTGTGGGGAAATGCCAGACCCTTGAGGTGGGAGCAATGCATTTGCCTGTTTTGCATAAGGATTTGCCTAAATAAAACAAGTTCATGGGTAGTATATGTGCCTGCATGTCTATCAGTATGATAGCTTACTCTGAATGACATATTATTTTAAGAGAAATGTGGTGCAGTTTTTTTCTGAAGAGACAGGAGTATTTTGTGGCATTTCTCAAAAGGGGAGTGGGGACGGGAAGTCCCTGTGCCCCACCATGGAGCCGCAGTTGGAAATCAGASCAAAGACTTCAGAAACTGCTTGAAAAGAGCATATGGGGAGGGCACAGGTGGCAGTGGGAAGGGGATCCTGCTGGAGGGCATGTGGTTTCCTGCAGCGAGAGGTGGATGCTGGCTGCATCTTGGATTTGTAAGGTAATTATTAGCTTATGAAGAGGACTCCCAAAGGATGCAGTAGGAGCTCCACTACCTGCCGCTTTTACCATCAAATTGGACAAAACATTAGGAAACATTTACCAGGATGGGCTATCAGGCTGCTGATTGCCTTCATCTCTAGCTCCATGAATAAGAAAACAAAACCTCAAGTTATCTGCTCCTCCCCACTCAGCAGTTCAGTGGGGACAAGGGCCGCATTTTAACCCTTTCAAGTCTCTTTGGATTCCCCTKTTCTTTAAGGTGAATTTAATCTGCTTTCTTAAGATTTTCCAGGTTGCAGAGGCCTTGTGGTCTCAGATGCAGGACGCAGAGATGGGCAAGCGTAGGCAGCACCTCTGGCATCCCCTGGGACGCCCRCGGTCCCGTCCGGCTGCTCCGGGCCAGCTGCCTTCGCGCGGCCCTCGCTTATYGAGAGCTTCTCCCAGCTCTTGTGATAAATGACTCACGGGTCGGCAAAGGTCTCTCCCTGAGTTGTTCTTTGCTTTATAACCCCCAAACTATCGCAGATCCAAACAAAACATAGATATACCCTTCCCCGCTTGCTCTCACCACCGTGGAATGTTTTTCAGGAATTCAGCCAGTGTCTTTCTGTGGTTTGAGCTCCCCTTCCCAGGACTGTTTTCCTCCAGACTACTCTTCCACATCAGGGATCAGCATTTTTTTCTTTTTTTTTTTTTGTTCTGAGAGCCAATTTCCTCCACCTTTGTCTGGGCCCTTTGTCACAGACCTCCCTTTTCCTCCAAAACCTAGTGCTATTGTTCCTCCTGCATCCCCCTCACCTTCTGGGCCTCCGTGGCCAAACATAAACACCTGGTTTCTGTGTCCTTCTATTACAAAGTCCTTTTTTTCTGCAGAAAAGCTAGAGAGAACCAGTGCTCTTGCCTTCAGGCAGCCGGCTCTGCAGAGCTGCTCCCCTTTGCCTCCCGCTACCGTGGCTTCAGGCGCCTTTTCAGAGCCTTTTTGCCCGTAGCTCTGACACCAGAAGGTTGAGGTGTGCGACATGCAGCAGTTTAACGAAAACCAGGTTTGTGCTCAGGATGCCCAGGCCCGTGTGGCTCCCAGGCTGCTGGGGACTTGTTGCCCCAACCGCTCCCCAAGTGACACCTTCTGCATGGGCCGGTCCCATGYGGTAGTTGCCTGTATGTGCTCTGTCTTCTGTCATTTATCCCCAACCTTGCTATAATTCTGTCTTTCTGTAGTGTAATTTCTTTGAGACTGCATTCTTAAATCCTTCCACAAACTGCAGACGTGCACTTCTCCTGCTTGAGTTAATGGGCGAGTTTGCACTTGGCTCAGTGGAAACAGGGCAAGATACTCCCCAAAGCCTCAAATCTCATTCACATAGTAAGGGGAATTGGATTTAGCCCAGGATAAGAGATGGGGAAGACCCATTAGATCACTTAGCCCCTGGTATTAYACAATCTGGTGGTTTAATGAGTCTAATTTTAAATGCCTGCAATAATAGGACTGCCACATCTCTCTTGGGACRGGGTTTTGCCGCCTGACGGTGATACTGGCAGGAAGCCCCTGCCTGGAGTTCAGACCGGTGGTTTATCTCTGCTTGATTCAGAYGCACTGAGGATGAGTGCAGCCTCCAGAAATGCGCTGTTTCCAAAGCTCACAAGACAAGGGCAGAYGAGCTGGTATTCGGTGCACAATTTGCCAGATGTCCGAAGAGGCTGAGGAATTCCTAAGCCTTTGTTTACAAAATCCTCCCTTCTCCCCCATGAGCGCTTAAGTTACCAACCAGCGCTACCAGCCTCCGCTTGGGGTGAAGTTTCCGCAACTGACGCCACTTCCAAAATTGGATTGGAAAGAGAAACAAACATTTTAATTACTTTTATTTTCCCTCTTCCTGATGGGCTTGCACCACTTAACCCTTACTGCGGGTCGCAGTTAAACTCGGGAGCAGGATTGTTCCTTCCTGCCTTTGGTCATGGGCGCGTCCCGGGGACCTGCTTGCCCGGCAGAGACTGCACCCCAACAACCTGGGGCCACAAGATCCTGGCACCGGGATTGCGTAGTCCCCCTTGCCGTTCCTTC